GTGCAAAAATAGATAGATGTTCAATGATCATGTATTTTGTACAATGCTATTGTCCAATCGTATTGATCATCACTTCATGTGACCACGTGATATCGGGAATTTACATTAGAGAGGGTACGAATAACAAATATAGAGGGTATAAAAAATAGCCCCCTATATATATATATTTACAAATTATATTGTATAAATAAAATAAATTAGATAGTAATTTTTATTAAATTAATAAATAATTTATTTTAAAGAGTATTGCTAATCTTAACCAGTAATAATTTTTACCAGGGGTGTTTAAAAATGCTATATTTTAAAAACAAATTAAGTAAACAAGATTAGGTATCTTAAATAAAAATATTCAAAACCTAAAACTTTACAAAAACTAAAATTAAAACCTTATATTTAATATATATTATATTATATAAAGCTTCTATATATCTCAAAGCTATACTCTAACTTTAAAAATACTAAGAGAGGTAATTTGCTCCTAGTTAAACATAGTAATTTTCTATTTTAAATACTTAATAATCTTTTACTCATGATCTAAAATAAAATTATAAATAATAATTATTCATAATATTGAGTAGCAGTATAAATTGATAAAAATTAGCCAATAATATAAACTAAAATTTATATAAAACATAAATAATAAGTACTTATAAGTATGGAAGCCAGGTAGAGTACTACTCAAGCCTTATTTATTTGTATAAAAACTTAGTTTTTCGAGCCCTTATTCTTACCCTAGGACTTGGGATTTGATACTCTAGCCTAGCTCTTGTAGGCCTACCCACAGGTACTCATGGGTAGCAAAACCCCTAATTGTCACTCAAAAAATTATTTACCCCTGTAATTGGTGACATATAAGAGGACGTGAATTTTAACCATGTTACACAAAAAACATAGTGAATTTCCTTAAGGTTTCATCACTAAAATTCACATCCTTAGATATCTTCTAACTTTCTTATAATAATTGTATATTGGGTGGACAACATTTTCCATATTAGGTTAGATTTTACATGGGATGGACAAAATTTTGTGGGAACGCTACCTAGGCCATGGGTAGCCCAGGCCCATGCGGAGGCCTACCCGTGGGTTGACTCGCGGGTTGATCCACCGTTTTCACCTGGGTTGTCATACTTAACTCGGGTCACCCACCCACCCACGGTGACCAGGGTGACACAAACCTGGGTCAAATCACTAATCGACTGGATATACAGAGACCTCTCTAAATGCACACTCTATAAATATACTCTCTATATAAAATCTCTTTAAATGCACAGTTTAGTCTGGTCCCAGCTTATAATAGCATTATATATTTTGCTCTCTATAAATACACACTCTCTCTAAGTGCACATTTTCGAAATTTTTTACTATGATCCCGAGGGGGGTGCATTTAGAGAGGTCCCTCTGTATATACCAACTAATCGATTAGTCAATTAATCATATTAATCCTCCGATCACTATGCCGGATTATTATTGACTGTTATAATCAATTAGCTAATAATCAATTTTTAATCGATTTTTAAAAAAATTCTTGGCCAAATAATCAATTGAATTTTTTGGTCCGATTTGGAACACTAGGCTGGACACCATTTTTCCAGGTTTGTCCAAATTCCAAAAGTTTGTCCGGCAAGTATACCAATCACATAAATGTCTTCATGCGGATTCAAGAGTAATACTATAATGTTAATCAATTCAAATGTAATAAAAGGTTCGACATATATAGTAATTGTAATATGTAGATAACAAGTATTACATACCTTATAAGTGCATCAAAATTTGTTATTGTTTCACATTTGAATTTCCAAAATACGGTATTTAATATATGCTGGTACATGCGTATATGCGCTTTGATAACTCTCTCCTTAATATCAACACTTCTTAATTGAGGTTGAATTTTTTATAATAACTCAATCACATTCATTCGTTATAATTAACTACATATATTCCTATTTGATTGGTTTCCTATCAACATCTCTTGAAAAACATTTTTAAACCGATAAATATATAATGTCAACACATCGTCGAAAAAGTCTAAATAACGACAGCTCTTCCGAAAATTTTATCATCCCCGCCACGCAAAGAACGGTAGATTCTATCACCTCTCAACAACGTCAATATCAACCCCACTCTTTTATGGACCAAAAATCTTATCAATCACATAATGATAAATACTTGTCAACAATCGACGGAAAAAAGAGTACTCCAATACCAAAATCAAGAATTCAAGAACCGAAAAAAGAACGAAAAACACTTCGTCCGCTATATATTAACTATGGATCGATAACTAGCTTAAGGGAATTTGTTTACATGGTTGCTTTTTTTGGAGCTTTAGTGGTGTTTTTAGGAAGTTTGTGTGGTATAGATACGCCCTTTGACGAAGTACAGCCAGTTGGTAAAATAGTTTCATCCTCTAAACCAGAAGATAAATTACCTAACGAGGAACGTATTATTCCAATGGATATTATAGATGATGGAAACGAAGATTACAAAAATGATTCCAAAAAAGAAGATTACAAATATGATTCCAAAAGTGAAGATTACAAAAACGAAAATTATAATGAAAATCATCAAAATTATCTGGATAATAATAAGATAAAGAAAGGAGATATTACAGATTTGTTTCCTGATGATGAAATTTTAGATGAACCAATGATTCAAGATGAAGGATTTGGTCATTTCGATGAAATCCTTTCCAAAAATGATAAAAGCAGTGACATCTCAAGTCATAATATTGATTTTCTTAGTGATAATGATCTAAGGCAATTGTTAAATCCTACAGTTTATTCTATCTTAAATAAATCAACTCAAGCGGCTGGTCGACCAAATAAATTAACGAAAAAGATTCATAGACATTATCACATAAAATCAAAAGACACAGATGAAGAGATAAATGTAATAGATTACTCTGGCTATACTTACAAATCACCGCAACCCCATATCACATATGTAGATGTAATTAATTCATTGACAGATGAAGAATTAGCGGATATTAAACATACTCAAGTATTAGAAATTAATTCGGATGAAAGTTTGGATTCGTCATGCGGAAAGTGGCAAGAAGAATATATGAAATTGCATGCGAATATTTTGGATGATAAGGTGGAACAGAGATACGTTACCTATATTTGTGATGCTAGCACGAATTGTGGTGGATTAGCAGATCGGTAAGTTATATAATAGATATTCTGAACAGCCCAGTGTTAGCAATTGTTCCGGCCAAAAAATGGCTAAAGTTCTAGTCAGCCAATGACTGAAATGGCTGTTTTGGCTGATAAAATTGCCAACACCGGGGGGTCTGAACATTATTATAGCTGCATTATTGTCTATCCATTTTTTTAAATAATTAAATAGAAAAATATATATTATTTTCTTTTTTTAATAATTTATAAGAATATTTGGCATGACATCAACATTCCTATTCGCTCTTCTTACAAACCGAGCTTTTCTCGCAGACTGGCAGGTTCCTATTCCCTTAGACACAGTATTCTCATCGCCAAATATCGATTGGAGTTATGATTCCCTTTCACCTTCACCTTCGCTTCTTGCTTTGCAATCCAGTGACCTTAACGTTATCGACTTTGATGCACAACATCTTGACCAATATTTTATGCTACATAATTGGACTTTAAAGTATCCAGAACCGTTTATAAAGCTTTATACAAATAGAGGAATGATAATGAGAACTTTTTCATCAAAACATTATTCAAAATATTTAAAAGATATTGGATTAAGACCACACACGGCTATTGGGTGTATTCTTGATTATTTGTTTCGTCCAGTTCCTGAAGCTTTATGGTTTATTACGGAATATACATCATTGTTTGCGTTACCTAGTATTTTTTCCGTCGGAATCCAAATTCGAACGGGTGATTCTAAGATGAATAAAAAAGATGGTCTGGGACATTCACACTCGTTACAAGAATATAAACATTTTTTTAGGTGTGCAGATCAATTAACTCAAATGTATTCTGCACCATCGCAAAAAGTGATTTATTTTTTGGTAACAGATTCTGTAAGGTTAAGGGATGAGGCTATCCAGAAACTTGAGCATGTAATAGTTTCAGGATTACCTGTTAGTGGTGAAGGAAATAAAGGAGAGAATGATTGGGATAAAGCGAATGAGATTAATAATGCAATAATTGAAAATTGGATACTGAGTAAAACAGATTACAGAGTAAGTATTGAAAGTAATACACTGGTTGAATTTTCAAATTTCTAAAACATTTATGAGAGAGATCAGCAGAATACCGGACGACCACGGAACCAATATCCTTCCATAGTGATAATACGCGCCAAAAATCAGTTAGCTATCAGACATGTCGACGTCCGGTATTCTCTCAGAAATGTTATAGAAGTTTTAAAATTCGACCTATAATAATGATATATATATATTTATTTATTTATTTAATCATCAAATTTTCTATTAATTTGTTTATAACGAAATAGGTCATATCACCGGGTGGATATGGAAAGTTATCAGCATTTCATTCAAAACAATTACACTCCACTGTGTCTATGGTATACTCTGGACTTAACGACCAAGTACCGGATTGCACACGCGAGGACGCGTTCACAACGTTTAATAAGTTAGCCAGCGAGTTGTCTTTAGGATAATTAGTTGAATAATAATTTTCAAAGGATAAAGTTTATTTAATTTTATTATTAAAAACTGATATTTTGTATCTTATTTATGTGCTCGATTTAATCTAGATGTTGTATAGTAACAAATATAGAATATTAAATAATCAATGGTTTATTTATTACTTATTTCTAATTCAATCAGGTTAAAAATGTGAAGACTAAGAATATCCGCAGAACCTATAATAATTATTGAAGACAAAACACATCACTTTATGTAGTTCTTTTAACTAAAAAAATTAAACCTGATAAAAAACGTATCTAATGATGAGACTATCTATCACTAATGTATAATTTACACACCATAATAAAGTTTTTTATATACAAACATACAGTATTAAATTACAGTCAACCCTTCATATAATCACCCAATAAGCACATTTTAATAAAAACCTCTCTTTTTATCATATTTGTATTTAAAAATAAATTATTATTAAATAAATTTATAATTCTACACGGGGTATAATAATTTTGTAATTTGCAAATTCGTGTAATATGCCAAGCAAAGCAATTCTTAAAAATAAAGGTTAAATTCCTGCTTATATATAGTTAGAGTAAGAGTAGGTTTGGAATAATTCTATGTGGCGGCTTATGCTGAGATTGGCTGATGGCGAGATTCACGTGATAAACATCGATCTTCATACACTTCCAATTTGGTGTCAAATGAGGTGCGTCAATAAATAACCAAATGAGGTTCGTCACATATTTGACGTCAAACAAGATGCATATATCCGATATGCAAATATTCCCACTTTCATTACACTTTTTTCCTTCTCTAAAACACAGTAAAAATAAAAACTGTGATTTTAGAGAGGAAAAAAAAGTGTATTTACAAACTCGGAAACACAATAGTATAACAATACGATGAAAGTATTTAAGCATATGGCTTTGGCTTAATGTAATCAAAGCCTTCTAATCTTAAGGTTTAGATTGTAAATATAAGTTAGCAGCCAATACGATAAAAAAAGGCTTGCTTTTTTTTTTTCTTAATGTTACTATAATTACGGTAGGACTAAAGAAAAAAAATAAAGAAAAAAAAATAAATAAAAAAAATAAATAAAAAAAGAAAAAAAAAAAAAAGCAAACTCTAAAATGTATATTTAAAGTTTACTTCATGTCCTCTAAAATATGCAAAGGCTATGTTTAAAGTTTACTTCAAGTCTTCAAATCTTTACTTCAATGATGATAGTAGCCTTATTACATTCATGAGGAGGTGGCTTTGAGTTTAGCAGGTAACGTGGTGTATCAGGAAAATGGTAGTTTTTCTTTCGAATCCAGTATTACTAATGTGCAACTATGTTTACCATTTCTTTGTTCAGAAAAAAGAAAAAATGAAATAAGTCTTTTTCATACCTGGTTATGAGTTGTGCGAAGCCATGCTTACAATTTCTCTTATCTAGGATCTTGAATTTACTGGGAATGTAATCAAACAAAAAAAAAAAAAAAAAAGCAATTTTTTCTTTTCATACTTGTTAAGTTGAATTGTGCAAAATCATACTTACCATTTCTTTACTCAAAGACCTTGACTCACAACTAAAAATGTGGCCAAAAAAAAGTTAGCTTTATTCATACCTGGCAATCCAAAATGTTTTTTTTTTTTATCTGGTAATTTTAATTGTTTAAAACCCAACCTACTATTTTCTTTCTCAGGGTTTCGAATTGACCGAGAACATGATCAACAAAAAAAAGGTTAGATTTTTTTATTCTTATTTAAGCACAAAAGTTAAGCGAATTATTTAAACCAAATTCTTACTACTTATATTTTCATACTACCACTTCATTACTCAGGGATCTAGAACTATGACCAAGAATCATGATCAAAAAAAAAAAAAATAAGATAGATTTTTTCATATACATATTTTAAATTACACAAAAATTTTATTATTTTTTTTGCTTAGGAATCTTGAATTACGATCAGGAACATGACCAAAAAAAAAAAATGTTAGTCTTTTTTTTTTCATACCTGTTAATTTGAATTGTTTAAAAGTATGTTACTACTTTTTTACTACACTTTAATTACTTAGAGATGTCAAATTATGACCGGGAATTGTGATTAAAAAAAAAAGTTATTATTTTTTTTTTCATATCTGGTAACTTAAATTAAGCAAAATCATGCTTACTATCTTCTTTATACAAGGACCTTGAATTACAGTTGAGAATATGATGAAACCATTCTCTTCATTTAGAGACCTTGAATTATGACTAGAAACATGATCAAAAAAAAAAGGTAGTCTTTTTTTTTTTATACCTTGTAATTTGAATTGTTCAAAATCATACTTACAACTTTCATTACTCAGAGATCTCGAATATGACCTAGAATGTAATTAAAAAAAAAAAAGATTGTGACTAGAAACATGGTCAAATACAAGTTAGTTTCTTCATATCTAGTAATTTGAATTATGAAAAAATATACTTACTACTTTTAACTAGAGACTTCGAATTAGCCAGAAATGCGATCAAAAAGGTTAGTTTTTTTATTTGAATTTGAATTGTTTAATCATTCAAAACCATACTTACCATTTTCTATACTTAGGTAGGACAATATAATTTTGAATCTTGCTATAAGAATGGTATAAATACAACCAAAGATGAAAAAAAGCACTTGAATAGTATTTGAAATCTGCTGATGGTGGTAATTCAAGCGGGCAATGTAGTCTTGGGCGGTGCTATCAAAAAGGTATGGACATTATCAAAAATGAAAAAAAGGCATTTGAGTAGTATTTAAAATCTGCTGAAGGTGATAATTCTTAAGACCTCGAATTATACCAAATGTGTGGTATTAAAAATAAAAAAAAATAAAAAATAAAAAAATAAAAAAAAATAAAAAAAAGTCAAAAAAAAGTTTACTGTTATTAATTAGAGGGTCTTTAATCACATGGTATTTAAAAAAAGGTCCATATTTTATAATCTAGTGTTTAAATATGAAGATTGTACTTATCATTTGTTACTAGGGTAACATGGATCAGAGAACTGGAAGCGTGCCATGGCCGCAGACTTGTCTATGAATGTCCTTCTCAGTTGATATCGCCCAAAATTGATCTTATTGTGCTTTGATTAGATTATTGAAAATGTTAGTATTTTTTTTTTTGTTCATATATAAGGTTAGGATTATATATCATATTCAAGTCTTACTTACCATTTTCTTATTTAAGGGTTTCTAATTATGACTAGAAATGCAATTTAAAAAAAGTTGGTTTTTTTTGTACCTGATAATTTGAATTGTGTGAAATAATTATATTTACCAATTTTTTTTTAACTCAGGAATCTCAAATTACGACCGAGTGCTGCTATCAAAAAAAAAAAAGAAAAAAAAAAAATAAGTAAATAATTTTTTTTTACTTGTTTAATTAGAGGATGGCTTCGCTCCTTCACTCTTTTTTTTTTTATTTTCCTTTCTTTTTTCTTTTTTTCTTTTTTCTTTTTAAATACCCGTGTGATAAGGATACTAGGAGGAATACTGAGAAGGGGCCTTTGATGTGTGATATTTAAACAAAAGGTTAGTCTTTTATAATTCAATATTTTAATATGAAGACCATACTTACCATTTGTTATTAGACAATATGGCTCAGAGAACTGGAGGCACTTCGTGGCCACAGGCTTGTCTGTGAATGATGCAGGCTTGCTCATGAATGTCCTTTTCTATTAGTATCATCTGGAATTTAGTTTCAATCAGATCAATGAAAATGTTAGTTTTTTTTATCAGGGTTAGATACCATTTTTTAGGTTTTTAATTTTAATTACAAAATTAGATGTAATGCCATGATATTACTAAGAATATAAGACCTGGGGTACTATTTGCAAAAATGTTTTAATGTAAATAATCGTAGCCAACCAAAAATCTAAAAGAAATAAGTAAATACAGTAGTATTGCTATACAAGTTGATTTATGTCCCCATATAAGCTAACTTAAATTAGATTATTTGTCACACTATAAGAGTTTGCCAAACTCTTATGGGTGTGACAAATAACTTGATTTGTTGATCAAATAAATATAATATATTGTTTTGTTTACTTTTGTTTATATTTTATTTTTTTTACTAGTTAATTATACCTGCTATTCCAAAAATTCCTGAAATGATAGTAGAATATCAGTTTATTGTTGTATATCTTCAGTCGAAGACTATTTTGTCAAATATTCAAGATTCTAAGACGAAATATAATTTTGAAAGATGTAAAAAATTTGAGTTAGACAGTGAAATTCTTTATGTTCCTGCTATTGTTAAAGATAGTATTATGTATGAATGGCTCTGTGTGGTTCCAAAATATGATGTAGAGTTATATGCCTTATTACTGGAACATTTTTATGATAATACTAATCACCATAGTTATCATAGTATATACTCTGTAATTTCTGAAAAACACATCGGTATTTTACAATTAGAAGTGCAAGAATATGTTAACAGGTGTTCAACATGTGCTATTAATGTTAGTATTAAAGAAAGGACAAACATGAAGTCAGTTATTTCAACTGTATCATGGCAACATATTCAAATCAATCTTATTAATTTTCAAGATTATGCTAAAGTAAGCTCTAACTCTAACCTTAATCTAATCTAACTTTAATCTACCCTAACCCTAACTCTAACCTCTAAAATCCCAAACCTTATAGGTAAATAACAGATTTGCATAGTTGTTAACGTGTGTTTGCACATTTTTTAAATATCTTATTGCAATTCCTATGAAGAATAAAGAGGCCAACATGGTTGCAATGTATCTTGTTCAAAATATCTTTAAAATTTTTGGCCCTCCTGTTATTCTTCAGAGTGATAATGGCAAAGAATTTGTGGCAAATATTATTACTCAGATTTATGAAACCCTTAAAATTTGAATTAAGCATGGGCACCCTCGCCATCCCCAATCTCAAGATCAGATCAAACATCTCAACCAAACAATTGGTTGTGGTTTTACAAAATTGCTATAAGACAATTAGGATAAAATATAGCAAAAGGACTGGATTAACGTTGTGGATACTTTTGTTATATCGTACAATTTAACAGTTCATAAGGCGCATGGTCATACATCTTATGAAATCATGTTTGGATAGAAGATGCATGGTGTCTATGAATTGCCTAAGTTACCCAATCAAATGAACCAATTTTATTAGATAATGCAAATAATGAAAATTTAAAAATTAATGTAGAGCAGTATATAAAACAAGTGTTACAAATGCAATAGTCAGTAAACAATTCACTAGAGAAATATCATGAAAAATTATGTTATATGGTAGTGTTCATCACAAAAAAACAAAAAACAATACAATTTAAGCTGGAACTATAGTCTTTATTGCACCTAATTATGATACAAATCTGCAAACTCAAAAGCAAAAGTTGTAGCCAGTATTTTCCCAGCAGAGAATTTTTAAACAATTAGCATCAAATAATAATACTGCAATCATTAAAGTTGATGAAAAAGACATACCGGTCTTAGTTGAAAGAGTTAAAGTTATATAATAGCTTTAAAAATTTTTTTTTTCTTTTTCCTTTCAAATTTTCTTTTTTTTTCAAATTTTATTTTTTCTTTTTTTTTCAAATTTTTTTTTTTCTTTTTTTTTCGAATTTTTCTTTTTTTTTTCTTTTTTTTCAATTTTTTTTTTTTTTTAAGTAATTGCTCTAAAGAACTTTAATAGCATTGCAGCAAAAATAATCTCTATGCATAATTTTTTTTTAAATTTGTATAGTTGGAAATAAATATGCAATTATAGAATTACTTGTGACTATTTAATTGTAATTTTTTATTTTAAATTTAAATAAATACCCTTATACATAAAAACTATAAATATAAGAATAATAATGAAATATATACTATGTTCTCTGAATTATTAAGGTCGCAATTCAATTACTAGTTATAAAAAAAAATTTTAATCACGTTTCTGATCATAATTCAAGATCTCTAAATATTGAAAGTGTTAAGAAAAAAAAACTTTTTGAATATGTCCATTCATAATTCAAGGTTCTTGATTAAGTGAATAGTAAGTAAAAAGAATCGAACTTCTTTTTGATTGTGTTCCTAGTTGTAATTCAAGGCCCTAAGTAAAAAATAGTATTAAGCACAATTTGAAATACTAAAAAAAAATTATTTTATTATTTTTTTTTTTTAATCACAATTCATTATAGTTTGAGATTTCTGAGTGATAAAGGTGGTAAGTATAGTTTGAATTTAAAAAACCAAGTTTAAAAAAAAAATTTTTTTTTCTAATTATAATTCAAGTCTTGAGTAAAAAGAATGATATGATTTGGTATAATTTTCCAAACTTTTTTTTTAATCACAATTTTTGTTTTATGATCATTTACTAGTCATAATTCAAGGCTCTGAGTAAAAAGAATGATATCAGACATGATTTGGCACAATTCGAAATACCAGGTATGAAAAAAATTTACTTTTTTTTTTTATTAACTACAATTTCTGGTTATAGTTCATAATATAAAGATGATAAGTATAGTTTTAAACAATTTGAATTATCAAGTATGAAAAAAATCAAACTTTTTTTTTTATCGTGTTTCTAGTTGTAATTTAAGACCCTAAGTAAAAAATAGTATTAGATATAATTTGAAATACCAAAAAACAAGCTTTTTTTTTTTATCATGATTCCTGATCATAGTTCATGTTTTCTAAGTAATAAAGGTGGTAAGTATGGTTTGAACATTCAAAAAGCCAGGTTTAAAAAAAAAAAAACTAATTTCTTTTTCTTTTTTTTTCCTGATCGTAATAATTCGAAATATTAGATATAAAAAAAAAGCTATCTTTTTTTTTGTTAACCATGATTTTCAGTTATAGCTCATGATTCCTGAAGTCTGAAGTAATGAAGGTGGTAAATATAGTTTTAAACAATTCAAAACACCAGGTATAAATAAAAAAAACTGGCTTTTTTTGATCATGTTCCTAGTTGTAATTCAAGGCCCTGAGTAAAAAGATAATATTAGGTATAAATTTGAAATACCAGATATGAAAAAATCACTTTTTTTTTGATAATGATTCCTGTTTATAGTTTGTGTTTCTTGAGTAATGAAGGTAGTAAGTATGGTTTGAGCATTCACTTTTTTTTTTTGAACATGTTCCTGATTATAAATCAAGCTCTGAGAAAAAGAGTGGTATAATTTGGCATAATTTAAAACACCAGATATGAAAAAACTCAATCCTTTTGTTTTTGATCATGATTCTTGGTCATAGTTTTTGAGATCCCTGAGAATAAAGATAGTAAATATGACTTTGAACAATTTAATCCACAAGATATAAAAAAGAAAGAAAAAAAAAACCCCCAACCAACTTTTTTTTATAATTATTTACTGGTTGTAATTCAAAGCTCTGAGTAAAAGAATGGTATCAGATATGATTTGGTGCAATTTGAAATACCAGATATGAAAAAAAAACCCTATTTTTTTTTTAATCATATCCCTGATTATAATTCAAGCAATTTGAGATATCAGGTATAAAAAAAACTCATCCTTTTTTTGTTGAACATGGTTCTGGCCACAGTTTGTGATCTCTGAGTAATGATGGTGATAAGTATGATCTTAAACATTCAAATCACAAGGTATGAAAAAAAAACTAGCTTTTTTTGATTATGTTTCTGGTTGTTAATTCAAGGTTTCTGAGTAAAAGAATAGTATGATTTTGCACAACTTAAAATACCAGATATGAAAAAAAAGCTTTTTTGTTATAATTTCAGATCAACCTTGAGTAAAGAAACTGGTATAATCTTGTACAATTTAAATTACCAAGAATTAAAAAAAAAAACTTTTTAATCAACAAAACCTAGTTATAGTTCAAGGTCCCTATATAATAAGTGTAAAGGTAGTTTTGAATCATTTAAATCAAGTATAAAAAAAAAAAAAAAATTAATCACATTTTCAGTTAATTCAAGATTTCTACATAAAGAAGTTTATGATTTTCTAAGGGCAGCTTAAAAAAAAGCTATATACATTCCAGATCTAATGTTCCTATTTTGAATGCAATATAACTAAGAGAGTTTTTCTATATTATATATTTGCTTTTGATTCATATTACCTGCCTTTTTATGATGTACCTTATTTGATATATCTCATTTGATTCACCTTATTTGATGCATACCTAATTGGGAAGTGTATAAAGATTAATGTTTATCATATAAATCTCACCATCAGCCAATCAGCCACCACATTCTATAATAACTCAAAATTTTACTAGAGTAATTATGTTGTGTTATCTAAATAAAAATATTTCTTTTGCAATTTTACTCTACCTAATCCCAACTCTAATCCTAATTTAATAGCTACAAATTTTTTTATAAAAAAAAAACATATTTGATAGTATGACTACATGTAGCCGTGACTACTGTTATGAGTTTCATAACCGGAAGGAAAAAAAAAAAGAGGCTTAGATAATTATTTTCGTTTTGTCTTAGTATTATTTATTTATTACTATCTTTTATTTATGTATTTATTTGTTTGTTTATTGGGAGAAATCATATGATAAAAGTAGGACAATTGGGAATTGTAAGCAGTTATAAGCAACTGTGAGTAAAGAGCAATAGTTGTGTAGCTTTCTAGTACAGATTGCTTACAATTCATGCGTAATTGTAAAAAAAATATATTAAGAAAAAAAGGGTATTATAGAATATAGTGCAGTAAATTACA